GGTGAAGAAACTGCTAGACGGACTCGATACTCAAAGGCGGTGGGCCCAGTTTAACATTTTTCTCCATGGAAACAGAGAGGGAGCAGAGGAACTGTGTGTGCCATTAGAAAGCAATCTTCAGTAATCTATCGAAACAGGGCAGTTGCCCGAGGCGTGAAGACAGCACATGTAGTTCCAATTTTCTAAGAAAGGGGACAGACAGGCAGCATTAAACTACAGACCAGTGTCATTGACTTGTATAGTATGTAAAGTCATGGAAAAGATTATCAGGAGAAAAGTAGTGTAACACATTGAAAAGACTGGGCTCATACATGACAGTCAGCATGGCTTCAGAGATGGGAAATCCTGTGTCACAAATTTACTTGAGTTCTACGATAAGGTAACAGAAGTAAGACAGGAGAGACAGGGATGGATAGATTGCATCTTTTTAGATTGCAAGAAGGCTTTTGACACAGTACCACACATGAGACTGGTGCAAAAATTAAGAGGAGCAGGCAGGAATAACGGGGAAGTATGCAATGGATTAGGGAATACCTGACAGGAAGGAAACAACGTGGTGTTGGTACGTGCTGAAGTGTCGGAGTGGGCGAATGTGTCGATGGGGTTCCACAAGGTTCAGTCCTAGGCCCATGCTGTTTCTTGTATACGTGAATAACATGGTGGAAGGAATAGATTCAATAGTGTCATGTTCGTGATGATGTGAAACTGATGAGAAACAAGTGGGCGAGGATCAGTTAAGACTACAAGGGGATCTGGACAAACTACAAGTATGGTCCGACAAATGGCTCCTGGAGTTTAACCCCAGTAAGTGTAAGGTCATGAAGATTGGGGAGGACACAGAAGACCGCAGGACGGAGTACAGGTTAGGAACCAACAGCTGCAAACGTCAGTTAAAGAAAAGGATCTTGGGGTAAGCATTATAACCGAACATGTCCCTGAGGCACACATCAAAACAAATAACTGCTGCAGCATATGGGAGATTGGCAAACCTGAGATTGGCGTTTAGACATCTGAGTAAGGAGTCATTCACGACATTGTACACGGTGTACGTAAGGCCTATACTGGAATATGCAGCGCCAGTATGGAACCCTCACTTAGTCAAACAAGTCACGAAATTGGAGAAGGTGCAAAAATTTGCAACACGATTAGTCCCGGAACTGAGGGGTAAAGTCTTATGAGGAGAGGTTAAAGGAACTCAACCCGATGACACTAGAGGATTAGGAGGGATAGGGGGGGACATGGTAACAACGTATAAAATACTAAGAGACATTGACAAGGTGGACAAGGATCGAATGTTTCAGAGATGGGATACAGAAACAAGGGGACAATTGGAAACTGAAAACCCAGATGAGTCATAGGGATGTTAGGAAGTATTCTTTAGTTTAGAGTTGTCAGGAACTGAAATAATCTGGAGAGTGAACTAGTGAAGCAAGTTCCATAAATAAATTTAAGAAGAGGTATGACAAATATCATGGAGCAGGGAGAGAGTGAATTTAAAATCGACCAGTGAAGAGGCCGGGGCCAGAGCTATGAATCGACCTCTGCAACCACATATAGGTGAGTACGTACACACACAACACACACACACAACCACACACACACATACACACACACACACCATACACACACATACACACACACACACCATATACACACATACCACACACACATACACACACACACACACAAACACACACAAACACAGCCGAAGAGGAACTGATGGAGACAGGTTAAATTAAGAGCACCAGGATCAGGTGACACTGGTGGAAGTTGAAGACAATGATCAACCACTGTGATGTATTTCTTTAGCCTCAGGGTGGTTGAAAAGTGGAATGATTTGGATGAGGCAGTGGTGGTGGAGGCAAACTCAATACACAGCTTCAGGAGAAGACATGACAAGTCCTACGAGACCAGAAGTCTGTGTTGCCCATCAAGGTGGTCTAGGGGACGGGGCCAGGAGTTGAGTCTCGATCCCCGCAAAACACAAATGGTTGAGTACATACACCCCCCCACACCCACACACTAATCACAGGTCTAATGTAACAACTGACGGGTTAACTGACAAACACAATATACACAAATAACCCCACCATAGGAGAGGGAAGCTTACGACGACATTTCGGTCCGACCTGGACCATTTACAAAGTCCTAAGCTCCCTTTTCCTATGTGGGGATTATTTGAGTATTGTTCCAGTCAAGGTATTGCGACTTCATTTACACCATACATACATATTTACAAAAAAAAAAAAAAAACATACAAACCTAAATAACAGTCTGCTGGAACAACTTTCAGCAGACCTTTAATGAAGAGTGACAGACAGGAACCCCAAGTGGTCCAAGACCCTCCACAGGTGACAACATCGGCTCCTCTCAGGGTCTACCTACCTACTTGGAGTCGATTTTTTTTTTTACACAGGTCAAGCGGGTCACCGTCCCTCGCAGCCCGGTCCAGGACCAGGCCTCCTGGTTGCCAGCCTGATCCCCAGGTTGTTTGTGCCTGGTCGATCAGGCACAAACTTTAAACAATAACACAGAATTAAATCTCTCTCTCTCTTCCTCTTTCCTTTCAAATTCCCTCGTCTTCTAGTCTTTCTCTTTCCCTGCTCCTCATTTCTTCTCCTTCCTCCCTCCGTCCTCTCTCTCTCCTGCCTTCCTCTCACAATCTTTACCTTTTTATTCTCTGTTTCAGATGTCCTTTCTTTCACTCTCCCTTTCCCCATCAAGCCTCCCATCAAGCATTAGGGGAATTGCCAATAAACCCCTGGCTGCCTTCAAGAGAGAGCTGGACAGATACCTAAAGTCGGTGCCGGATCAGCCGGGCTGTGGCTCGTACGTCGGACTGCGTGCGGCCAGCAGTAACAGCCTAGTTGATCAGGCCCTGATCCATCGAGAGGCCTGGTCGTGGACCGGGCCGCGGGGGCGTTGATCCCCGGAATAACCTCCAGGTAACCTCCCCTCTCTGTTTACCTCTGTCTCTCATAATGCCTCCCGCCTCTCTGTCTCAGATTGCCTCTCTCTCTCTCTCTCTCTCTCTCTGCCTCTCTCTGTCTCTCTCTCTCCAGACGAGTCAGTCTAGTCAAGATACTCTGTGGTCGGGTACTGAGTGTCAGGTCTCTGGAGTCTAGTTATTTGATAGTCCACTTCATGCACCTTCCATTGCTTGTCTCTATGCTTCTCTTTATTTATCATGCTTTCCTCTCTACTATCATTCACTTTTATATATTTAGTTATACAATGTTTATACTTTCATTCAATACAGAACTTCATGTAGTTGTTTGTACTTGTTTCTGAGTTACGGACCTCGTGTGAGTTGGAAAAAAATAAAATGAGCGGTGATCATTAGTGAAGAACCATGAATGAGTTGAACCATGACTGAGGGGGCCATGAATGAGGGGACCATGAATGAGGGGGGCATGAATGAGGGGGCCATGAATGAGGGGACCTTGAATGAGGGGGCCATGAATGAGGGGGCCATGAATGAGGGGACCTTGAATGAGGGAGCCATGAATGAGGGGACCTTGAATGAGGGGGCCATGAATGAGGGGACCTTGAATGAGGGAGCCATGAATGAGGGGGCCATGAATGAGGGGGCCATGAATGAGGGGACCTTGAATGAGGGAGCCATGAATGAGGGGGCCATGAATGAGGGGACCTTGAATGAGGGGGCCATGAATGAGGGGACCTTGAATGAGGGGGCCATGAATGAGGGGGCCATGAATGAGGGGGCCTTGAATGAGGGGGCCATGAATGAGGGGGCCATGAATGAGGGGACCTTGAATGAGGGAGCCATGAATGAGGGAGCCATGAATGAGGGGACCTTGAATGAGGGGGCCATGAATGAGGGGACCTTGAATGAGGGAGCCATGAATGAGGGGGCCATGAATGAGGGGGCCATGAATGAGGGGACCTTGAATGAGGGAGCCATGAATGAGGGGGCCATGAATGAGGGTACCTTGAATGAGGGGGCCATGAATGAGGGGACCTTGAATGAGGGGGCCATGAATGAGGGGGCCATGAATGAGGGGACCTTGAATGAGGGGGCCATGAATGAGGGGGCCATGAATGAGGGGGCCATGAATGAGGGGACCTTGAATGAGGGGGCCATGAATGAGGGGGCCATGAATGAGGGGACCTTGAATGAGGGGCCATGAATGAGGGGCCATGAATGAGGGGACCTTGAATGAGGGGGCCATGAATGAGGGGGCCATGAATATTCGCTAAGTTACACTCACCTAACTGTATTATTATTATAATCAAAAAGAAGCGCTAAGCCACAAGGGCTATACAACGCTGCACCTAACTGTAACTGTAGAAATCGAGTCGAAGCTCCTGGCCTAGAGGTGTGTGTGTATAAATATAAATATATAAAATATATATATATATATATATATTATATATATATATATAATATAAATATTATTATGCATCCACAGAAAAAAAGTTATTTTAATATATAATGTAATAAATAAGACATATACGTAATTAACACTGAGGTGGTGTATTAGGTCTCACCTTGTGCACTTGGCGAAGTCTGACATATTCTCCATTCTTTGGTCTGGAGTGGTCTGCCAGGGATGTTCGGGTCAGAGCCTCCACCAGGTCTGGACTCAAACTGGAGGAAGACTTGCTCTTCCCTCTACTGGAGGAGGAGCTACGACTCAACCTGGAGGTAGAGGGCGAGTTTCTGGCAGAGGAAGGGGTGGAGGTGACCGTGTTGGTGGTGGCCGCGGTGTAGGGGGAGGGGGACTTGGTGCTGTTTCTTGAGGGAGGTCGCGGGGAGGGGGAGGAGCTGAGGGAGGACGGGGTGGAGGAGCAGGAGAAGTTGGAAGTAGGGGGAGAGGAGAACATGGAAGGGGTGGAGATAGGAGGTAAGGTGTCTGCACAGGTGCCATGGAGACTGGTGTCCAGGTGACTCTCTGTCGACCTCTCATCCACGATGCGACCATTCTGGTGGACAGTGAGTGTGTCTCTGGTTGTCACACGTGAGGTCATGGTGAGGTTACTCTCCACTTTGGTGACTCCTCGTAACTCAGCACCCAGTACGGAGGCCAGCACCCGGTTCACCAGCGCTTGGTCTGGCAACCTCCCCGCCAGCAACGCTGCCTTCAGCGTGCCTCCCCATCCTCCCCCACCAGCTGCACAGGCACGCCGTTGACCAGGATCATCTCCCTCTCAGTCACCTTTGTAGAGGTAACAGCATCCACCACCCTGGCCCTCCCGGCTCCGAAGAGCTGGTCCACCGCCTCCTGAGGGTCCACCACACCCGTCCCTGAAACAGACCTTTGTAAACACACTTCCACGTGCCGGCGGCCGGGTTGACAACCTGTTAGCGCTACTCAAGAAGACAGATGTAGCAACGTCTAAAAGCCTCTATAAACCTTTCTACTATAATCCTACCACAATCTATAATCCTACCACAATCTATAATCCTACCATAATCTATAATCATACCACAATCTATAATCCTACAACAGGGAAGATGTATATGAAGCTCAAGGCCTTTCACACTCCATCAGTGCTTCGTCAGGAGCTTGATATATGGGACATACGTAAAATCGGGTAAAAAGAATCTGAAATCCGCCAGGAAAAGTAGCCAGTAGAGTATTGCCACTGAGAGACATACCTTTGTTAATCTTGACTTACAATACTGACAAGCTGATGATCAAGACATGTGTAACCTTGTATATCTTTACTGCTTGGCAACTAAGATACCCAAGTCTTGAACATGTGTCTTATTCATCCACCCAGGTGCCCTAGTGGGTATTATTACCCTGGTAGAACAATAACAATGGTACCCTCGTGGGTATTATTACCCTGGTAGAACAATAACAATGGTACTCTCGTGGGTATTATTACCCTGGTAGAACAATAACAATGGTACCCTCGTGGGTATTATTACCCTGGTAAAAATAACAATGGTACTCCCCGTGGGTAAATTTTTACCCTGGTAGAACAATAACAATGGTACCCTCGTGGGTATTATTACCCTGGTAGAACAATAACAATGGTACTCTCGTGGGTATTATTACCCTGGTAGAACAATAACAATGGTACCCTCGTGGGTATTATTACCCTGGTAGAACAATAACAATGGTACCCTCGTGGTAAACCATGGTAAACAATGTCCTAAACGAAACATGTTGGGAAGATGTCTTAAATGACATGGATCCAAACCAGTGCCTTGAAAGGATCAACTTCCTGGTAGCCGAAGCATGTTCTAGGCATATTCCCCTAAGAAAGAAGACGAGCAGGAGTAAACTGGAGAGAGAAAGACGCTCCCTCTACAGAAGACGACGAAGAGTCACTGAGCTCCTCAGTAGTGCTAGAATATCTGATACACGAAAGGAGGCGCTGACCAGGGAAGTGGAAACTATCGAACTTAAGCTAAATGACTTACAGGAACCAGGAGAGGCAGGAGGAACTTAAAGCTATTAGTGAAATTGAAAGAAATTCAAAATATTTCTTTTAATATGCCAAAAACAAGGCAAATGCCACATCTAGTATCGGCCCTTACTCAGACAGGATGGGACTTACACAGATGACAAGGAAATGAGTGAAATATTGAAATCCCAGTACGACTCTGTGTTTAGTGAACCACTAATCGGTCTGAGGATCGACGACCCAAATGATTTCATGAATGAGCCTCAAAACTCCATAAATGTATGCCAGATTTCCGACATTACCCTAACTCCGATAGATTTCGAAAAAGCCATTGACAACATGCCTATGCACTCAGCCCCGGGCCCAGACTCGTGGAACTCTGTTTTCATTAAGAACCTGCAAGAAACCCCTCTCGCGTGCCCTAAGTACACTATGGAGGAGGAGCTTGGACATGGGTGAAATTCCAGTCACTTAAAACAACGGATATAGCCCCACTCCATAAAGGTGGCAGCAAAGCATTAGCTAAGAACTATAGACCAATAGCTCTGACATCCCACATCATAAAAATCTTTGAAAGAGTGCTAAGAAGCAGGATCGCAAATCACCTGGATTCCCAAAATCTGCACAATCCAGGGCAACATGGGTTCAGGGCAGCAGGTCGCTCCTGCCTCTCACAACTACTGGATCACTATGATATGGCCTTGCACTTGAAGAAAATCAGAATGCAGATGTAATATACACAGACTTTGCAAAAGCATTTGACAAATGCGATCATGGCGTAATAGCCCATAAAATACGTGCTAAAGGAATAACTGGGAAAGTGGGGAGATGGATCTTCAACTTCCTAACAAATCGAACACAAAGAGTAGTGGTCAACAGAGTTAAATCGGAGGCTGCCATAGTGAAGAGCTCTGTTCCACAAGGCACAGTACTCGCCCCCATCTTATTCCTTATCCTCATATCAGACAGACAGAGATATACATCACAGCACCGTATCATCCTTTGCAGATGATACTAGGATCTGCATGACGCTCTCATCTGCTGAGGACGCGGTTAACCTCCAAGAAGATATAAACAAAGTTTTCCAGTGGGCAACGGTAAACAATATGATGTTCAATGAGGACAAATTTCAACTACTCCGTTATGGAAAACTGGAGGAGATAATAACTAGAACAGAGTATACTACTGACTCTGGCCATACAATAAAGCGGAAGAATAATGTAAGGGACCTGGGAGTAGTAATGTCAGAGGATCTCACTTTCAAGGATCACAACAGTGCCACGATCGCACGTGCAAAGAAAATGATAGGATGGATAATGAGAACTTTCAAAACGAGATGCCAAGCTAATGATGATCCTTTTCAAATCACTTGTTCTCTCTAGGCTGGAATACTGCTGTACATTAACATCTCCATTCAAAGCAGGTGAAATCGCAGATCTAGAGAGTGTACAGAGATTCTTTACTGCACGTATAAGTTCTGTCAAGCACCTTAACTACTGGGAACGCTTGGAAGCACTTGACTTGTACTCGTTGGAACGCAGGAGGGAGAGATATATCATAATCTACATTGGAAAATCTTGGAAGGAATGGTCCCAAATCTGCACACAGAAATCACTCCCTACGAAAGTAAAAAACTGGGCAGGCGATGCAAAATGCCCCCAATAAAAAGTAGGGGCGCCATTGGTACACTAAGGGAAAACACCATATGTGTCCGGGGCCCAAAACTGTTCAACAGCCTCCCATCAAGCATTAGGGGCATTGCCAATAAGCCCCTGGCTGCCTTCAAGAGAGAGCTGGACAGATACCTAAAGTCAGTGCCGGATCAGCCGGGCTGTGGCTCGTACGTTGGACTGCGTGCGGCCAGCAGTAACAGCCGAGTTGATCAGGCCCTGATCCATCGGGAGGCCTGGTCATAGACCGGGCCGCGGGGGCGTTGATCCCCGGAATAACCTCCAGGTAACCTCCAGGTGGGTATTATTCCCCTGGTAGAATAATAACAATGGTACCCTCGTGGGTATTATTACCCTGGTAGGACAATAACAATGGTACTCTCGTGGGTATTATTACCCTGGTAGAACAATAACAATGGTACCCTCGTGGATATTATTACCCTGGTAGAACAATAACAATGGTACTCTCGTGGGTATTATTGCCCTGGTAGAACAATAACAATGGTACCCTCGTGGATATTACCCTGGTAGAACAATAACAATGGTACCCTCGTGGATATTATTACCCTGGTAGAACAATAACAATGGTACTCTCGTGGGTATTATTACCCTAGTAGAACAATAACAATGGTACCCTCGTGGATATTATTACCCTGGTAGAACAATAACAATGGTACCCTCGTGGATATTATTACCCTGGTAGAACAATAACAATGGTACCCTCGTGGGTATTATTACCATGGTAGAACAATAACAATTGTACTCTCGTGGGTATATTTACCCTGGTAGAACAATAACAATGGTACTCTCGTGGGTATATTTAGGTTTGATAAGTAGAACCTTGAAGAATTACACACATGTACAACATCTTCATTTGCAGACGTTACGCCAACCAGTGGCTTTATCAGTACAATACAAAGACAACGTGAAGAATTATATGCAAAAGATGAGGTAATCAGTCCCACAGCCTCGAAGTTGGTGAAGATATACCTTACCTTACCTTCGAAGAGTTTCCAGATTTTATCTACTCCCTGAGCCCGGCCATGGGCCGGGCTTCAAAACTTCGGCGATCTTCAACTCCAAGACTGAGGGACTGATTGTTCCAGCTTTAATAAATAATTCCTCATATTATGTCCTTCAACTGTGCTGATAAAGTCACTAGATGGCGAAACGTCTACAAATAGATACCCAGATGTTGCACATGTGTCTAATTCTTCACCTTGTCGGTATTGTATACCATTTATGTACTGGTAAACCTTCAAAATAAGAGATGTCAAGCAAATGATGTTACTGAAGTCACATTTTCTCTCTTGGCTGGAATATTAATGCACACCAACAGCTCGTTTTACAACCGACCTAAATTGCAGATCTGGAGAATTTACAGAGAACCTTCACTGCTCTTATAAACTTAAATAATAAAAAGGCATAATACCGTGACTGGAACAACACAAACAACCCGCACATAAGACGACGACGACCTTTCGGTCCGACTTGGACCATTTACAAAGTCACACAGTGACTTTGTAAATGGTCTTATAAACTTAGTCAGGCACCCAAATTATTAGGAAAGTTTGACGTGGTTTAATAAGACACATGAGCAAACACTAAGACATATTTACTGTAAAACGTTTCGGTCCTAGTTTATACCTAATGTTTGAAGTCCCTTGATCTGTACATATTGTAACGTAGGCTAACCTCAAATCTGCACAGTGAAATCACTCCTCAAGAGAGTAAGAGGCTTTCTTGAAAAGCAGGGGTGTAATGAGTACACTAGGAGATAATGCGATGAGTGTAAAGGGACCAAGACTCCTCACGCCCGTCATACATAAGAAATTACTAACACACCCGTGTTGTACAGTATATACTATACTGCATGCTGATAGCCCTAACAGCCTTGTTTGATAAGGCCATCAATAAGGCGTATTGGTCTAGGACCGGACAACGGTCCCAGACCAGGTATCGTCTTCGGGTAAACAATAGGCGTCACCCACGACGGATTGACCTTTGATGGGTTTTAAGAGTTTTTCTACTCCCTTCTACCCATCCCTGACCAGGCTTGTCTAGTGCTTGAATGATCAACTAGGCTGTTGCTGCAGGCTGCCCACTGGCTTATGACAGCGCAGCCGCAACCACATCAGAAGTGAATCTACACAATCAGAAGTCTGTCACACAACCAGAAATGTCAACACAGTCAGAAATGTCAATACAATCAGAAATG